TATTTATAAGCCGTTTTTTTGTGAGCGACTTTACCTTTAAATGATGGGTAAATTCGCTCACCATTATTATTCTGGCAAAATATATTATAATCTGCAAAAATGAAACTAAATATTCTTTAGAATCAATAAAGAAAAAAATTAAGAACAATATTCGAAGTTATTGGAATAAATATTTAATATTGTTTTATCAATAAGTAATTAGATTCAATCATTCAATCAAACGTACTCATAACCATAAAAAACAAGGTTAAGTTTGACAGTTTAGTGCTTAAACCGTTTTAAATCGTTTAATTTTCAGTTATAAGAGTACTATTATTTAAAAAAATCGAATTATAAATTAAAGTAATTAACATACTTAAAATATCCAGGCCCAAACATCTTTTTTGTAGACTTATTTCCTGAGCGAATTTACACAACAAATTTGAATTTTTTTTTTAAATTGATTTTTTGCAGAATCTGTTTATTGCTTTAATTTTTGTGCTTTATGAAAATCATGTTGGAGATACAGGAAATGTAATGTTCAGAAGTTTCAACTTAAAAATTTTGAAGTAAAGCTTTATTTCCTACTTTTTTATACTACTTGTTCAATATGAAAATTATTCACTTGTGTTTTAAATATAATTTCTACTGAAAGTTACCAATGAATTTGCTGCAAATAAATTTTAAATTAAAGTTTATCATTTATATTAACCAAAACAATTGTAAATCTTAAATATTTCTGTCTAAAAAGTATGTTAATCGAATTTTAAAAAATAGACATCGGTTGAGCGAATTTACCCTACATGAGCGAATTTAGCCTCACTTACGGTATGTTAGTGTGAAAAATTGAAAAAAGATGTGTATAAAAAGTGTTGTGTTAAAGGTGTGAGAATTAATTATAGTATATAAAAAACATGTGAACAAAAATTCCCTTTTTTCAATTTATCGTTGGTATATATTTAACCACATAAAAGAATTGAATTAACAGTATGGTGTTATTCAATCGACAGCAACAACTAAAAAAATTAAGAGTACAAATTTTTGAATCATAAAAATGATGCTTTTAAATTTAAAAGTTATAGTCATTGACTCAAAAGCATATACTGTTAAATTAAAAAATTTTGTTTATTGATTCAAAAGGATTCACCTTCGAATTAACATAGTATGCTGTCAATTTGAGAAATATGCTTTTGTTTCAAAGAAAGTGATACTATCGAATCATTAGAATCGGTGCTTTCAAAACAACAGCATATACGTTAGACAGCCCGTTATGACACTATTCAATGAATCAAACCCATATGTCATTGATTCAACAGCATTTTTTTCTCCGTGTAAATAACAATTATAATTGTATAAAGTAGAATTTGGGGGAAGTCATGCGCCCCTAATTTTTAACCACAAAAATAGAAACAACACTTTAAAACATATCTGTCATCAAAACATTAATTATATAGAAAAACAAAAGACGACACTTTTTGTTCACGGAATAGCAAATTATTATTATGTATTTAGAATTATTTTTCTGCTATTTCGTAGTAGAAAAAATTGAAAATTAAACAAAAGTTTGAAAAAAATTTGACTTTTGACTTTTTTTATAAAAAACATTAATAACTTTTTTGTTTACAAATTTTTGATTTTTTAACGCCATTCAATAGAGCGCATATGAAAGCATAAGAAATGATGATTGCTGAATTTTTCTATTGATTTTTAAGTACCGGCGAAATAAGTCCTCAAACTTCATGCCAAAATTTTGTACATTTGGGCGTTAAAGGGTTAAAGTTTCAATTATGGTTTATTTCAATAATGCTGTTGTTGCGAGTGTTTCCTTTTCTCATTGCCGATAAAGTTGAATCAGATAATGAATACGCCGAGCTTATTCTTAAGTAACTTAGAATCATGGACATAATGCTCGTGCCAAATATACACAAATTAATAATACCATATCAAGGAGCTCTTGTCAATGATTTTATTAAGGACTTTCATAGGCTGTTCCCCGATGTAAATCTAGTAAATAAAATGCATCAAATGGATCATTTTGCAGATTGCGACTATATAGTCGGGGTCAATCTCCCTTTACCTGTTTTTGGCTGCATTAAAGAAATTATTATTTTACGAGAATGTGAAGTTTATTTCCAAAGTTCAGTAGGTATGTTCAACGTGTTATTTTGATGAGAACTTAATCGCTTATTGCATTAAGAATGAAAATGACAACAAATATCCTAGACGCTTTATTCATGTGTCTCGCCTTGCACATTTTAAACCATTTTGTTGCTGGACAAAAGCTGACTCCAATGAATTGTTTGCTAGTCTTCAAATTCCCACTACCGTTGGATCTCCTTATACTACTTCGTGGTCGAGTTTCAGGAAATCTTCGGTGCTGTGTGGGCTAATTGTAAATCGTGGTTTTATTTATTTAATTATTGTGTTAAAATAAGTAATCGAATACACGGAAAATCTTTGTTCAAGAATTATTACGAATTTTATTCAAAAATTCAGGATATGGAAAAAAAATTTTATTTTTTTCAGTAAAGTTCAATATTTATTTAAGAATTTTAACGTGTTTTTCTAATGGCTTGGAAATAATTGTTCTTGACGCTGCAACTGAATATTTCAGTCACTGCACGCTGAAGAATTACAGAACTATTTAAGAAGGAAAACGTAGCGTAGCCTATAGAAATGCAGCGCCTGTTGGTTTAAATATGATCCCAACGCGGGATATATCGTCACGCGTTCTGCAGCCGAGCGGCATAAGGCGGAGAGATATTTCTCAAAGTTTCGAGGTCTCAAGTTCGACTACTTGCTTAGGCAATTTTTTTTCCTTAATTTCACATTTTTCTACTCTTAAACCAGTTCTGTAATTATTTAAGAAAATTCAACAAGTTGTCCAGAAAATAACTACAGTTCTTCCCGAAAAGCTTAAAATAATATTTCAACCTACAGTTCTGTAGCATTTACTGTTTTTTCCATATCCTGAATTCTTGAGCTTGACCCGACGTCGAATCTACTCTCATTTTTTGGCTTCAAATTACTATTATATGAGTGCAACCAACTTTGTTGCTATACTTTAATTTCGTTCCTAGTAAATTATTTGTATATGTTAAAAAATTATAGAAAAAACTAATGTGTGTATATGTATGTATACTAAGTTTGAATGAATATTTTAAATCTTTTTGGAAATCACGATATTAATATTTGTTATTGTTATTAATTATACACACCGCTAAATAAAATTGTTTTCATAACTAAAGGAATTTTAACTGTTTTCGCTTTTCATAGAAATTGATATTTCATTTAGTAGCCAGAATAAATAGGTTGTTACAAGTTACTCAGACATTAATGTCAATGTCAAAATTGAAAGAGATTTATAAATCGGCAAAACCAATCTTTTATTGAAAAGATTAAAACAAAATTAAATGTCGTTAATGCAAAAAACGATAACGATTTTTCCGATTTTACAAACTCTCTGGACCACGATTATGATGTCCCCTACGTGACCGAGTATCATAATATGTATTTTGTTACAGGAAACATTAGTGCGATTCCCTGGAAGATTTTAGTTTTTTCGGAGTAAGTAAACCAATTGCAATGAAACTCAGGAATGTTAATCTACACATAAAAAGAAATATTACGTCAAAATATTCAGTAGTTTTTAAGATGTGAAAATTTTGGAAAAATTTTGATTCCAAAAAAAATTCCAAAAATTTTTTATTTTGAAATTTTCAAAAAAATTTGTTAATTGATCACTCCGAGTCTTCCACTCGGAGTAATCGGAGTAATTTATGTTTTATAACAATATTTTTCAAGTTGATTAATTTCAAAAAGATTTGAATTTGAATGTTTTGAAGAATTTTAATTTCTGCGGAAAAATAATAATAATTAAATATTTAAAATATTTCAAAAAAGAAATTATTGTTTTCGAATAATTTTACAATTAAAAATATTCGTAAATAAATTTAACAGAACATTTTTTTCAATAAAATTTTTTCCTTTATTTTCTAAAAATTCAAAAATTTTAAGTTTCATTTTCAATTAAGTTTTCTAATTGACAAATATGTATAATTTATAAACATTTTTTTCCTTTATTTTTAAAAAACTTTGAATTTTATTAAAACAATTGAAATTAAGAAATAGAATTGATGCAAATTATTTACTTATGGAAAATGAGAATTTTTTACAAAAATATTAAGAAACAAGAATATCTAATAATTTTCTTCCCAAAAGAAAAATTTTTTAACAATTATCAATTTTCTAGTGTATTTTTTATAAATAAAAAGGAGAATAATTTGCATAATAATTCAGATCAGTCAAACGAAATATGTTATAGAAAAAAGCATATAACAAACAAAATGGGTATAGGTATTTATGTATATTTTATTTGTTAATCATATTTTTTTTAAATTTCTAATTTGTAATATTATTTTATTATATAAATCATGAAAAATACCTGCATATTTTCGATTTTTCAAACAATATTTTTTAAAGAAAAAAAAGTATTATTTTTTTAATTCAATTTAATAATAATCCTGCACAAATTAATTCTCCCACAATGAAACTCTACGCATTCTAATTAAATAAAATATAATTTAATTAATTCTTTTAAATTCGCCAGGATTAAATACACCGATAAATTCCACAAAATTTAATTCTACGCATGACAAAATATATTTTTTATTATTTCATTATAAATTATTAACTTTACGCCATTAAATTCAACACCAGATAATTCTAGAAAAATAAATATATTTTAATAATTAGATTTTTTTTAAATTCTACGCAATTAAATTCTACAAAGAAAAAATATTTTTTTTCTATTAAAATTGTGTAGAATTTTTTTTGTAGGGTTTATTTGCGTAGAATCGCTACCACACCAAGTCTAAAAATGTACAACTTAACAGTTGTTTTGATTATGATTAGTTTAATTAATCATGGGAAAATAAAATCGCCCCAAAATAAAGTGTTTCAACCGCTCCATAACAAAGAGGTAAACCTGAATTGTCAGGTTTGTAAATAAATGTACTTACGAGACTCCACTGGAGAATTGTTAAAACTATCCATTTTCAAATACTTTTCGAAATTAAATTATTCACTTAATTTACTGATCAAAATTTCATCATCGGTATCACTTTTTTGTGCAATAATTCATTAACTCGTATTATTAAAACAACCTACATTATTTAATGTTCTCAAACAATACACAAATCACCGGTATACTGTACGCTATTGTCAGTTATCTTTAAAATTTAAACCGTTTAAATGTCTATAGTCTTGGCCATAAAGGCCATAATGTAGAATAGATTCGTTATTGGAAAACGTGAAACGTAATGCTGATTCTACAAGTAAAGGCAACTGCTAAGACCGACTACATGAAAATCATAAGTACAAGAGAGATAGTGCTATCTGACTATCTCTCTTGCACTCATGTAATCCCATGACTGCTTTTTGAGTTTTGTAACTAGGCATTAAGTGCAAATATAGCGAACACATATCTCCATCTCTCTCACACGCGTGGCCTAGTTACAAAACGCAACGCAAAACTTTATGATTCCGTTCATCGGTTCTGCTTGGGCCTTTATGTTGAACTTAAAAAAAGTGCCTATTGTGGACATAGCCGAAAATTAAAAGGACTGTCAAAGAAAACAAATTGAAAAAATTAAATAATTTTTAAAAGCAATAAAATTTATAAATAACAACTGTTTTCAGTAAATAAATTAAAATCGGCATTATTTATTTAATTTATGTTGTTAAACAACTATTTTTCTTTCACTTTTTAATTAAAAATTTTTATTTTTTTAACCTCTGTATACATTATATATTTACTAAACAAAACAAACTAATTTATATAGTAAGTAACAAATTTAAACGTTATTTTAGAATGAAATAAAATTTTTAAAAATTTAATTAATTAATTAACCTTATCAAAGTCATTCACATTTAGAAATTATTTAAATTTTTCTAACCTAACAAAGTCATAATTACTATTGAATAATTTCATTCTTGTAATTGTTATAAAAATATAAACAAATGCAATTTTTTGGGGCGCATTATTTCACCCAAATTATAATATTTATAATTGTCATATAACAAAATTTTAAAATTAATAATCATCTTTTACTCAAAAGGTAGTTGTCTATAATTTAATGTTAACATTATTACAATATTGAGAATAGATATTTGTTATAATTTATTTTTAATCGAATTTTTATTTTATAGATTTTCTAAGTATTATAAATATAAATTACAATAAATTTCACACTATGAAGTTGTATGTATAATAAATTTTTTTTAAATATAATTATTGTTGTAATTGAAATTAGTAAAATTTTATTTATTAAATAATTTGTATTAATAAATAATTAAAAATAATATTAATATATTAATTAATTAATAATTTATTAATTAATTAATATTCAATTAATATTAAGATAAATATTAAATAAAAAGATTTTATGTAATTTCTATGGAATCTAATTATAAATTAACATAGTTTTTAGTTAAATAATCTTTAACGTCCGAGATCCTTTATAAATTAAGGCAAATTAAACGAAAACATTTGGACAATGAATAAAATATTTATTTACTCCAACGTTTCGAAATCTAAATGATTTCCTCTTCAGGGTGTCTATCCAAAAAAATATACAAAATAAAAATTATATAAATAATTAAAGCAATAATAAACAATAATTTAACAATAAATATATAAAATAAAAATAAATGGATAATTATCTTACCAAAAAATAATAATTAAAATAGACGAATAGTTTTTAAATTGTGAAATGTAAAGTAATATAATTGTTTAAAAATATAATATTTGTTTCTTATAATTTTTATGAAATCTAATTATTTGAAGTAATTAATGTTTTACAGGCTGATTCTATCTCAATTCATGCAGGGCGAATAGGTTAAAAATTCTAAATCAAGTTAAAGGTAATTTTTCTTCTTCTTTAGGAATAAAGAGACACGTATCTTTTTATTTAGCGAAAAAAATTTTTTTAGCTGAGTTATGAGAGTTTGAAAATCTAAGGACATATCGTGATTTTAGAGCTAAACAGCTGACAAATTATTTTCAAATCTTTCTAGTTTTTGCAAAAATAAATATTTTTAAATTTTTTTTCTTGATTTTAGTAGTGTTTTTGATACTTTTTCTTTGCAAACTTGAAAATTTGAAAATTAACAAAATGGCGGCCATTTTTCGATAAATCAAAAAAGTCAATTTTCTCAAAAACATCATTTTTTATTTTTGTTAAAATTTTTGTGTGATTACTAGATGAAAAAAGGAACTTTTTCCAAAAGGTTTCATGTCCGCTAAAACTGTTTGGAAATCGCTATAATTTTTTTCAGAAAATAACAAATATCATTATTTTCTCTCTAAATCTGAATCAGTGAAATTCCACTGAAAATCAGTGAAATTTGACTGAGAATCAGTGACTCTATTCTTGCGATTTGAATCAGTGGAATTTCACTGAAAATCAGTTAAAAATAACTGAAATTTCAGTTATTTTCCACTGATTTGACAATTAAAAAACTACTGAAAATTTCTGTCACACATATTGAAAATTTTAGTTATTTTTTAATTGGCCAGTCAGTGAAAAATGACAGAAATTTCAATCATTTTTAACTGATCTTCAGTAAAATTTCACTGATTCAGATCGCGAGAATAGACAATAGAGTCACTGATTGTCAGTCAAATTTCACTGATTCAGTTTTAAAAAATTGATACGAGTAATGTATCGGCATATATATATTTATTGCATGTTTATATGTTTTTTGATGATTTTTAGTGTTTTTGGTACCTACTTTTTATTTGCAAACTTAAAAATTTTGAAAATTAACAAAATGGCGACCGTTAAATTTTTTTGGTTGCCATTTTGAATTATAAAATTTTAACCAAATATTCGAACTCAGCGACCCCAAAAACCTCCAAATGAATATTTTTATTCAATTATTTTTAGTATTTTTAGTTTTTGATTTTTTGAATAATGGTCGCCATTTTGTTAATTTTCAAAATTTTTCAAGTTTGCAAAGAAAAAGTATCAAAAACACTACTAAAATCAAGAAAAAAAATTGAACAATATTTATTTTTGCAAAAACTAGAAAGATTTGAAAATAATTTGTCAGCTGTTTAGCTCTAAAATCAAGGTATGTCCTTAGATTTTCAAACACTCATAACTCAGCTAAAAATTTTTTTTTCGCTAAATAAAAAAATACGTGTCTCTTTATTTGTCCTAAAGAACAAGAAAAATTACCTTTAACTTTATTTAGAATTTTCAACCTATTCGCCCTACATGAATTGAAATAGAATCAACCTACATATTTTTTAAATAATCAAAATTTAAATCCTCGAATTATTATTTTACATATCATTTTAATTTGTAATTAAAGTTTTATTTCTTATAATTTTTATTGCATAGAATTATTTCTTAATATAATTGTTTATTTTATAAACTTTTAATATAGTTTAATTTTTATGTCATCGAATACGTGATTCACAGAATATTCTACGAATTAATGAAAATCTACTGTTAAATCAATAAAAATCTATTGTTAACTCGTAAAATATTTTGGTGACATGAAATTTAAGATGCAAAATTTATAAAATAATTAGGATCACTCAACAAAAAGAATTTTTTAAATATTTTTAATATTTATTGTAAAATAAGCATTTTTTAAAAATTTCCATTTTTGATGCCAATAAAGCTGATTATAAATCTAAAGTTTTTTTAAAAAATTCAACATGGCGGATCCAATATGGCGGACAAAATTAAAATTTGATCAGATTCGATTAAAATTTGTTACTCAGGGGTTTTTAGGGTCGCAGATTACGAATATGAACTCACTTTTTAAAAATTGTAAATATTGGATCTCATATGACATTTTTGATGCCAATAAAGCTGATTATAAATCTAAAGTTTTTTTTTAAATTTAACATGGCGGATGTATAATATATATATATTAAAATAAAAATGCGCCTACTTTTTATTTAAAATAATTTATTTTCAGGTACTATCCACAATATATTTCGATGACAACTGTTGAAGAATTCTTACGTATTTATAAATAAAGTTCAATACTAATGGATTTGCTAAAATATGTTTCTTCCTACGGTAAAACAAATCGGAAGAAAATTTTTCGAAGATTTTTTTCAAAATTTCATGAGAAGGTGAAAATCGGGTAATAAATTTAATTTATTGTATTAATTGTATTTATTTTATTTATTTAATTTTTGTAAACTCTTGAGAGAAAAATTGAATTGAATTACAGAGAAAAGTGGAATTCCGTGGTCGGTCTTGAAGTACACGCACAAATATCATCGAAATCAAAGTTATTTTCAAATGCAGGAACTGCATTCGCAAGTCCGATAAATTCGACAGTTTCTTTTTTCGATTCAGCGATTCCAGGAACATTGCCAGTAAATATATAAAAAATTTAATTATTTAATTAAAACTTAATTTACATGCACGAAAATAGAAAGTAATAATTTGTCTATGAAAATTAATAATTTTCTTAACAGGTTTTGAATAGGAGGTGCGTTGAAGCTGGAGTAACAACAGCTTTAGCACTTTCATGTAAAATAAACCAGGTTTCCCTGTTCGATCGTAAACATTATTTTTACTCCGATTTACCAGTAAGTTGTATAGTTTATTTATTAGAATATCAAAAATTTATTTATTCTTTTTATCATGTTAATAATAACTATATACAACCTTGATTTTATTTATTGGCACTACGTTAATTTTATAAAATTTGTCTTATTTTTCAAATAAAATTTATTGAGATGAAAATTATAACTTTTTCATTAGACTGGATATCAAATTACTCAGCAGAGAAAACCTTTAGCAGTAGATGGAATTATTAAATTTAATGTAATTAATCCAGTATCTCAGAAGGAATCTTATTCTAAACAATCAAAAATAAAGCAATTGCAATTGGAACAAGACAGTGGTAGAAGTCTCCACGATGAAGAAAATGAAAGGTATAGCAATCACTTTAGTACTACATTTATTTATTATTTCCTCTTCATTTAAATTTTCGACTTTCCATAGGTACTTATTGTTAAAATAATATTTTTATGTATCGTAAAATTATATTCTAAAATGATTTTTTAGATATTAATAAAAAAAACTTAATAATTATATTTCATTGAAAAAGATTATATGTTCTTGTATAAAACCGTATTATTTTGTAAAAAATATTTAAAATACATATTCAGGATTGCCAAAGATCAAAGAAATCAAGGAAAACTCAGGGAATTTTATCAAATGAACTGGAAAAATATTAAGTTTTTAGAATTTATAAGAACATTCTAAATTTGTTGTCCAACACAACAGACTTTAAAAAAAGAAAATATTCAATTTAACTTTAAATTCTTTTCATTTCTAACAGTAACTGAACTTTACAGATTTGAAATTGAATTTATTTTAAAAATTATTCATAATTATTCGTAACTAGCTGTCGTACCCGTCTTCGATGGGTTTTAGTTTCTACCAATACATTTAACAATGTTTCTACCAATCTGAAAAATCAGAAAAAAGCAGGGAATTTAATTTGACCGGAAAATTAATAATTAGTTACCATTAGCCATTTCGGTAGGGAAATATTACTATTTGAATAGTCTCCACCCTTTAGCAAAAAATCAAAAATTATTAAAAATTATCAAAAATTCGAAAAACCGAATTTCTTAAAATTTAACATTTTTTTCTTCTCTTTTATATATCATTAAACTCCATTATTTTTGGGCTCTTCAAAAACACTTTACTTATTTAATAGTCTCCACCCTTTGGTAAAAAATCAAAAATTATCAAAAATTATGAAAATTTCGAAAAACCGAATTTCTTAAAATTCAACATTTTTTCTTCTCTTTTATGGCATTTAGCTTCATTATTTTTGGGCTCTTCAAAAATACTTTACCTAATTTGTTATCTCCACCCTTTGGTAAAAAATCTAAAATTATCAAAAATTATGAAAATTTCGAAAAACCGAATTTCTTAAAATTCAACATTTTTTCTTCTCTTTTATGGCATTTAGCTTCATTATTTTTGGGCTCTTCAAAAATACTTTACCTAATTTGTTATCTCCACCCTTTGGTAAAAAATCTAAAATTATAGAAAATTAGCAAAAATTCAAAAAACCGAATTTCTTAAAATTCAACATTTTTTCTTCTCTTTTATGGCATTTAGCTACATTATTTTTGTCTAATGTAGCAAATTTCTTACTTTACATACTGATCTTTAAATATAGAACTTTAATAACTTTTCCTGAAAAGCTTGCTTAAAGATTAAAAATCACTATTTTTTTTGAAAAAAGTTGACCTAAAAAAACGAAAAAAAATTTCAAAATACGTCTTTTTTCCAATTTTATTGTAGAAATGGGTTGTATTTATCTGAAAAAGTTAGCTAAGGATAGTTTTGCATTCATTTTACAAAAAATAAAAAATTTGCATTTTTTTGATTTTTCGAATTTTTTGGAAAAATGTCATAACTTTCGTTCAAGTTAATATTTTTTAATCGGATAAGGCTATGATTTTAAGTTACGTTAATACCTAATAGACTGAAAAAAATTCTCTTTAATTGGTTAGACCGTTTTCAATTGATGCGCGAACAAAGTTTTGCATACAGACAGACAGACAGAAATTTTTTTTTAAATTTTTGGAATTCTAATGTCTCAAAACGAAAAAATATATAAAAATTTTCAAGTTTGGAGCAATGTATAGACTATAGACAGAAGTCTGATTTCACTAATATAGATAATTTTAAAAAATAATTCAAAAAATAATTGAATGTTATTAAAGTTGCTATTTAATTTATTATAATTAGGTAAATTAGAAAATGTTTTATTTTCTAAAATTAACTTCAATTTTTGCTATAATTTTTCAGATACAAAATCTAAGAAAATTCAACTTTTATACAATTCTTTAAAAGAATTCAATTATTGTCAAAAAAATTTAATAAAATTCTTAGCACGAGATTTAATTATTTTTCAATACAACCTTAATAAAATTTCTCAAAAAAATTAAGTTATTTTTAATAAAATTCTGTATAGGAATTGAATTATTTTCAAAACAATTTTACAAGATGTTACAAGATTATGTAACTTTTAGTTTTATGAATACTTATGTATGAAAGGGCAAGACACGTTTACAATATAAATGAAATTTTAATTAAATTCGTCGAAACAGTAATAAAATTATTTGCTCAAATTCAATTCTGTTTAAAAATATTTTTAAATTCTCGTCAAAATTTCAATTATCTTTAGAAATAATTAAATTCTTATCTGAAATTCAAATGTTCTCAAAAATTTTAATAAAATTCTTCACAAAATTTCAATTATTTTTAAAAATTTTCTAAAGGAATTCAATTATTAAAAAAAAATTTAATAAAATTTTACACAAACCTTTAATTATTTCCATAAAATAATAGAAATTACACAGGAATTCCATTATTTACAAATTTTTTTTATAAATTTCTTCGCAATCATTCAATTATTTTCATAAATAATACAATTTTTACAGGGATTCAATTATTTTCATAAATAATAAAACTCACTGCAGAATTTCAATTATTTCTTAAGCAATTTTAATCGAATTGCTCGAAGAATGTAATTATTCTTAAAAATTTTTTTCAAGTCATTCATTTCAAAAATTTTATCAACATTTTTTTCAATAATTGAAATCTTTCGAGAAAATGTAATTAAAATTATTATATTGAAAATAATAATTGGAAATCTTGGAAAGATTTTTATTAAAATTCTTTTAAATATTTTAATTGTTTTGAAGAATTTAATATTCTTGAAAATAATGGATTTTTTTAAAACAATTTTTACTGAAAATTTTGAAAATAATTGAATTTTAAGAAGAATTATATTAAAAACTTTTGAAAAAAAATTGAATTGTTTAGAAAAATTTTATTACAATTTATAAAAATAATTGAATTCTTCCTAAGAATTTTACAATTTATAAAAATAATTGTTTTCTTTCGATAAATTTTATTAAAATTGTATTGAAAATAATTGAATTCCTCCGAAACATTTTATTATTTACGAAAATAATTGAATTCCTTTGTAGATTTTCACTATTTATGAAAATAATTGAAATCCTTTGTAGAATTATATTATTTATGAAAATGAAATAAATAAATTTGATTAAAAATTTTGAAAATAATGATTTTTTTAAAGAATTTTATTAAAATTGTTGAAAATAGTTCAACTTATATTAAAATTCTTGTAAATAATCAAATTTAATTAATATCTTAAAAAATAATTGTATACTTTCGAGACATTTTTAACTAAAATTCTTCTTTAAACAATTATTTTTAATAATTTTTGAAAAAATTTCTTTTTGTAAATTTTCAAACCCATTTTGTTTACAATTCAATTTTATCAAAAATTTCAATTATACGAAAATTCTTCAATTAAATATATACCTATTAGAAAATAACAATTTCTTTTGACAAAATTCTATTATAATTGAATTTAAAATAATTTATTATGAGTTTTACTGTTATTATGAAAATAATGAAATTATTGGGAAGAAATTTATAAAAAATTTGCAAATAATTGAATTCCTTGTGAAATTTTAATTATTTTATGAATATAATTAAATGTTTGCGCAAAATTTCATTAAAATTTTTTTCAATAATTGAATTTTTTATGGAAAATTTTATTAAAATAGTAGATATTGAAAATCATGGAATGGAGGAAAATTTTTGAAAATAATTGAAATTTTTGCCGAGAATTTTATCAAAATTTTTAAAAATAATTGAATTGATTCGAAGAATTTTATAAAAAAATTTCTATAAATAATTGAATTCTTGCAACGAATTTTATTAAAATTTTGAAAAATAATTGATGATACAAAAAATATTATAATATTTATTTTACAGAAGTTTAATAGATTTAAACCGTGCTGGAGTACCACTGATGGAACTTGTATTTGAACCTGATCTCAGAGACGGAGAAGAAGCAGCATCTTTGATAAAAGAACTCTGTGCCATACTCTCGAGATTGGGAACTTGTTCTTGCAGAATGGAAGGTCATTAAATTCGTAAAATTTTAATATATTTTACAATCTCTCACTCTTCTGGTACTAAAAATTTATAGTTTCACTTCACAGAAGGCGCATTTCGCGTAGATGCAAATGTTTCTGTAAATAGACCAGGAGAGCCTCTTGGTGTACGAACCGAAATAAAAAATATCGGCAGCGTACGTGCCGTTGCAGCCGCAGTCGATTTTGAAATAGAAAGACAAATTTTAATGCTTGAGGAAGGTCAGGAAATTTTCAACGAAACACGTTCCTGGAATCCGGAACTTAACAAAACTGTTACAATGAGGGACAAGGAAGTTAAAAATGTAAAAACATTTTTAAAAATCTCCAATGCCATGAAATTTATTTCTCCTTTAGTTGTGATGAAAAATTATTTTCTTTTAGGATTATCGCTTTATGCCCGAACCAAATTTACCACCTTTACGTTTACATCTTGACAGGAATGTAAAGAACGAAAATAATTTAGTGGACGTGCCTTATTTGAATGATCAATTGCCTGAAATGCCCGAAGAAACAAGACAGAAACTTAGAGAAAAATTTGCCATTTCTCAAGATCATATAATAGTAATAACGGTAAATAAAAAAAATCTTTACTTAATAAATTCTAAAATCTATAATCCCTTTTCTTGATAATCTACTAATTCTTTTGTAATCCTTTTTTTCTAGTATAATCCTTCGCTACTAGAAATATTTTATAATGTTATGAAAACCAATGAGAAACGATGTGCAAAAACTGTTGCAAAAATTCTAGTTAATTTCTTTCTTGAAGTTCTAAATAAGAAAAATTTAAAAGTGGAAAATTGGTAAGCATATTATTTAATCAATGCATGCGATCGATGTTTTTGTGGTGAAATATTAAAAAAAATTTAATAACATCAAATGAAGAAGAAAACGTTTATTTATTTCAGTTCAATTTCACACGAATACTTTGGAGAAGCAATTGATCTCTTGCAAGATGAATCCATCAACTTAAACATTATTAGAAAATTATTCTATGAAATGTTACGTAATCCGCAAATTTCTCCAAAACAGGTAAAAATAAAGAGTTTATTAAGTTATTATTTATTTATTTATGATATTTAAATTTATTAATTTACTAGCAAATGAAACGTGCGCCAGCGCACGGAACGCGGTGTTCCATTTCTTATATTATTTTGTAACTTAAAAAATTTTTAATTTTCAAAAATAAACATCAATAATTTTTTAATAATAACTATTTAAAAATCTGTAATTAATACAGATTCAAAGTTTAAAGAATTCACTTATTAAGTACATAATATTAAATATTCTTGTTTATTATTCAAAAATTTTAATAAGATTCTTCGCAAGAATTTCATTTTTCTCATAAATAATAATATTTTTTTAAAAGTAATTCAATACAATTTTAATCAAATTTCTCAAAAGAATACAATTATTTTTAAAAATATTAATTAAATTCGATTATTATCAAGAATTTTAATATAAATTCAATTATTTTCAACAATTCTGATCAAAAATTCTTTGAAACAATTCAATTATTTTTATAAATTGTAAAATTCTTGGCATGAATTCAATTATTTTTGTAAATAATAAAATTCTTCTGAGAAATTTAATTATTTTTAATACAATTTTAAGTAAATTTCTAGGAAAAAATTCAATTAAATATTAAAGATAATTTTAATCAAATTTCTCTAACAGGTTCAATTATTTTAAAACATTAAAATACAATTTTTCTTAACAATTCAATTATTGTTCTCAAAAGTTATTAATAAATTCTTTTTTTTTAAATATTATTTTTAAAATTTTTAATATATTTCCTTCAAAAAATTCAATTGTTTTTAAAAATTCGTATAAAATTCTTCAAAACAATTCAATTCTTTCTATAAACTGTGTAAAATCCTCCGCAGAATTTAATTATTTTTATAAATAATAAAATATTTCGGAGGAATTCAATTATTTTCAAAAATAGTGAAATTCTGCAAAGGAATTCAATTATTTTCATAAATAGTGAAATTCTGCAAAGGAATTCAATTATTTTCATAAATAATAAAATGTTTCGGAAGAATTCAATTATTTTCAACAATTTTTATGAAATTTTTTTTAAAAAATCATTATTTTCAAAATTTTTAAAGAAATTCCTTCAAAAAATTCAATTATTTTCAAAAATTCAGATGAAATTCTTTAAAATACTTCAATTATTTTTATAAAATGTAAAATTCTCCGCAAGAATTCAATTATTTTTGTAAATAATAAAATTGTTCTGAAAAATTAAATTATTTTTAATACAATTTTAATAAAATTTCTCTAACAGGTTCAATTAATTTTGAAAATTGTAATACAATTTTTCTAAACAATTCTATTGTTCTCAAAAGTTTTTAATAAAATTCTTTGTAAATTTCAATTATTTTAAAAATTTTCAAATAAAATTATTTTTAAAACACGATTATTTTAAAAACTTTAAAGAAAATCTCCATAAAATTCAATTACTTTCAAAATGTTCAGTAAAAATTATTTTAAAAAAACTTCTTTATTTCCAAGAGAATTGAAATAAATTCTTTAAAATAATTGAATTGTTTTGAAGAATTTATTTCAATTCTCTTGGAAATAAAGAAGTTTTTTAAAAATAATTTTTACTGAACATTTTGAAAGGAATTGAATTTTATGGAGATTTTCTTTGAAGTTAATAAATTCTTAAAAACAATTCAATTATTTTAAAGAATTTTAATAAAAATCTTGCCAACAATTAAATTATTTTCAATACAATAATTTCAATTACATTTTCTCGAAAGAATTCAATTATTAAAAAAAAATGTTGATTAACTTTTTGAAATGAATTCAATTATTAAAATTTTTAAAAATAAGTGAATTTTTGAGTAGAATTTTATTAAAATTGTATTTAAAATAATATTGAATTATTGTGTAAAATTTACTATTTATTGATATAATTGAATTCATACGAAGAATTTATAAATAATTTAATTTTCCCTGGAATTCAATTATAATTGTATTTAAAATAATTAAATTCAATGATTTTCAGTACATTAATTTAAAAATTTTAAACATTTAAGAATAAAAGTTACTTAAGTAGGAATAAAATTCAATTTCTTTCAAAGCTTTTCAATTAAATTTATTAAAGAAACTCCATTATTCTAAAAAAAATTCAAAGAAATTCTTCAAAAGAATTCAAATAGGATTTTCAAAAAGTTTAATAAAATTGACAAGAATTCCATTTTCATTTTCATAAATAATAAAATTTTTTTATAAAATTCTTTGCAAGAATTCAATGTTTGTCAATACATTAATTTTTAAATTGAAGAATTTTGTCAAAAAATTAAAAAAAAAAAAAAGAAGAATGGAAAAATCGAGTTTGAAAATTTTCTGTAAAACAATGCCTTCATGAGGAAGGAATAAAGGTTTTCTTTTAATAGAAAATTTTTAAATTTGTAAATTCTTATAAATAAAAATAATTTCTTTAAAATTCAATTTTTTCATTGAAAATAAAATTTATATAGATTTCTATATAATTAAAATTTTAAAAAATTGAAGTTTGAAAAAAGCAAGATGTATTTTTTAATGTAAAAAAAACTTCAAAACTTCAAATTTAGATTTAAAAGCTTTTTTGAAAACTGAATTCATATTTTTTAAAAAATTTATTTTCCAATTTCTTCGTTATATAAAAAGAAGTTACTAGAACAAGTTACTTTCTTTAGTAATGAAATAACGCAAAAAAGTATGTGTTTTGAAAAGTATTATGAAGCATTTCATTGAATTCATTTACTTGAAATTATTTTGATTAAACAAATTTTCAGATTATAAAGGAGAAAAATTTGGAGCAAATAAGTGATATTGAAGAATTGACAAGAATATGCCAAAAAATAATTGACGATAATCCTAAAGCAGTGAAAAGTTATAAAGGAGGAAAAAAGAAAGTGTTTCAATTTTTCATAAATCAAACTTTAAAATCAACATATGAACGAGCAAATATAAGTAAGACCATTGAAGTTTTCAATAAACTGCTACATTAAACGTATATTTGTTTCATTTGCCAATACCTGAAAAAGAATGCAATTCAATAAAAATTATTCCATGTTTGATTGTCGACACTGTTTTATTTAGATGTATAAAGAAATTTATAACGACATCACATTTTTAAGTTTTGCTTCTTTTCTTTTCCCTTTAATTATACTTTCTGAATAAACACAGAACTCAATGATGAAAACAATATAATTCGTCGTTTTCTTCTGTTAAATATTGCCATAGTTGTAACATCAAAAATATATAAAACACAATGCAAATTTTAATTGCTTCATCGTTTATAGATACAAGTAGTACAAAATCAAGTATAATATTTTGCAGTACAATAATAAATCGGAGACTAGAGTTCTCAGTCCCCCCACTCTTCCATACCTAGCATGTGTATAATTTTTATGATTTAATTCCTTTTCTTTTTCTTTAGAAGTACAGATTAGTTACTGTTTATAAATTAAGATGATGATATAGTTTGAATCGCAACATGATATGTGTTAGATAATTAATTTTCAGAAGAATTCAAACAAACTTGCATCTTTATCAAATCAGTTATCATATCATTTTTATAATCAAGCACAATAATTTTCTCTTATTTTTTGCCAAAAAAAAAGAAATTAATTAAAAGATTCTTATTGAAATAACTCGTTTGTAAATATTCTATATTGTCTTTAAAAATATTTCAACCGTTAATAAAAAAGGTTAACAGGGCTCGAACTAGGTCCGTAAATCCCATAAAAGTCCGTAAAAGTCAGTTTTTAAAAAAAATAATTTACAAATAATTGCAAAAATTCAATTATTTTCAAACGTAATTTTATTCTTTGCGGAAATTTAATCATGTTCAAATTTTTTTTTTAAATTCTCATCAAAATTTCAATTATTTTTATAAATAATAAAATTCTTCTCCAAAATTCAATTATTTTCAAAAATTCTTGAAAAAATTCAATTATTTAGAGAAATAACAAAATTCCCCAAAGGTATATTCAATTACTTTTATAAATAGTAAAATTCAATTATTTTTAATACAACTTTAATAACATTTCATGAAAGAATTCTATTTTTAAAAAAATTCTTTAATATTGTTTCTCGAAAGAATCCAATTATTTTCTAAAATTTTAATAAATCCTTCGAAAAAATTCACTTGTTTTTATAAATAGTAAAATTCATCGCAAGAATAAAAATATTTTTCATAAATAATAAAATTCTTCTCAGGAATTCAATTACTTTTCAATACAATTATTAATAAATTCGATTGTATTCAATAAATTAAAGAAATTTTTCAAAAGAATTTAATAATTTTCTAAAAATTTTAATAAAATTCAAGAATTAAATTTTTAATTTCAATTATTAAGAAAGAGGATTATTGTAAAAACTTGAAAGAAATTGTTCATATAAAATTCAATTACTTTGAAACCTTTCAATTAAAATTATTATAGAAACTCCATTATTTAAAAAAAAAACTCAAAGAAATTCTTCAAAAGAATTTAATTAAGAATTTAATATACAATAACATTTCGTCCGAATGAATTCGTTTTTATTTGCCTTACAATTTAATTAAGATTATAAAAAATTTTAATAAAAGTCTTTCCAAATTCAATTATTTTCATAAATAATAAAATTCTTTGCAAGAATTCAATTATTTTCGTAAATAATAAAATTCTTTTTATGAATTCAATTATTTTCATAAATAATAAAATTTTCGCAGAAATTTAATTAAAATACAATTTTCATAAACTTTTTCGAAAAAAATAAATTATTTTAAATAATTTTTATAAAATTATTCAATAGAATTCAATTATTTAAAAAAAAATTAATAAAGTTCTTCTTAAGAATTCAATTATTTTTAAAAAGTTTTATAAAATTCTTCGAATCAATTCGAAATTTTTAAAATAATTATTTTTAAAAATTTTGATAAAATTCTCGGCAAAAATTTCAATTATTTTCAAAAATTTTCCTCAATTCGATGATTTTTAATATCTACTATTTTAATAAAATTTCCCAAAAGAATTCAATTATTTAAAAAAATTTTAATGAAATTTTGCGCATACATTTAATTATATTCATAAAATAATTAAAATTTCACAAGGAATTTAATTATTTACAAATTTTTTATAAATTTCTTCCCAATAATTTCATTATTTTCATAAATAATAAAACTCATCAAAGAATTTCAATTAATTTAAATTCAATTTTAATAGAATTTTTCCGAAGAATACAATTATTTTTAAAAATATTAAATAAAATTCGATTATTTTCAACAATTTTGATGAAATTCTTTTTTAATAATCATTATTTTCAAAATTTTTAAAGAAATTCCTTCAAAAAATTCAATTATTTTCAAAAATTCGGATAAAATTCTTCGAAATAATTCAATTATTTTTATGAAATGTAAAATCCTCTTCAAGAATTTAATTATTTACATAAATAAGAAAATTCTTCGCAAGATTCAATTATTTTTATATATAATAAATAATAAAATTCTTCAAAGAAATTTAATTATTTTTATAAATACTAAAATGTTTCGAAGAAATTCAATTACTTTCAATACAATTTTAATAAAATATCTCGAAAGAATACAATTATTTTTAAAAAAATTTATAATTAAATTCAATTATTTTCAACAATTCTGATAAAAAATTTATCGAAGCAATTTAATTATTTTTATAAATTGCAAAATATTTGACAAAATTTCAATTACCATATTCAAGATAATTTTAAATTATCTTGATTATTTATCTCAATTATTCTTAGAAGAATTTTGATAAAATTGAATTGTAAACCAATGAATTTGAAAATAATTGTTTAAAGAAGAATTTTAGTTAAAAATTCTAGAAAATAATAATTGAATTGAAATGTTGACTCGGACTGGTTATATTTTTGTCAGTAATAATTGGCCCGTAAATGGTCCGTAAAGTCCGTATTTTTAAATAATTTCACTGGTTCGAGCCTTGGGTTAAGGAAATGCTTATTAGAGTGGGATTAACTTGACAATGATAACATTAAAAATTTATCAGCGTGCCTGATGGAATATTTGTTCTCTCACTCTTTATCAACATGCAATTTTTTCCATAATTACTTAAAACTATTTTAATTTAACGAGACACATTGAAAGAGTTTTATGTAATATAAAATTTTTTAATAAAATTATTTTTATGAGTTTTATAATAAAGTACCTACTTGAATTTATTTTTAAAAGAAATTCAAGCCATTTTTGTAATATTTAATTAATTAAAATTTACATAAAATTAGTTTATTTATAACAAATTTTTAAAAATTGCCTTTCGTTCAATTGGACTATTTGTCGATTTAATGTTGACGTATCGTACAGACATTAAAATAGACAAAATTTTTAAAAAAGCAGTTTTAAAACTATAATTTATATATAATTGTAAACGCCACTTGAATAACAATTATTAATTAAAATAACAATTTTAGTCTCTGGATCAAATGTTATATTTTTATGATTAACGAAAAAGAATCTAATTATTCCTTTGTGTGATGAATTAATACTTCATCAGAATTTTTTTTTAGAGAAAGAGCGAATAACTTAAAATATTATTTTATTTACAAATATGTACAATATAAAAGAATTAAAAACATCAAATACAGAGATAATAATATTAGAGAAATAATTTGCGAAAATCACAAGACTTAATTTGGCACAACAGAAAACAAGGATGAAAGATTATTATTATTATTATTATTATTATTATTATTATTATTAGAGAAACCTTATGTAAAACATGATGAAATTTAAAAAAAATTTAAATATTTTTCAAACATTTTCTAAAAATAAAACAATGTGGATTTTTCATTAAAACCTTAAAAGTTAAAGTAGCATTAATTTAACATTTTTATTCCTATAAGAATGTCAATGTCAGTTTTTTTTTAAACAGCGCAAAAATTGAGTTCAAATAGTAACAAAAATTTGATCCAGAATATCGCGTTTAAATATAAATTTAGATGAATTAACTCATAGGATAAATTTAAAGCAATGAATCACTGAAGCTTCCGATAACATTATTTACACAATTTAAATATCTTTCAATGTATCAAAAATATATGTAAATATTTAAATAATGAAAGTGTGATGGTTCATACAATTAATAATTGGCTAAAAATGACTTACACTTTAAATTTTCTCATTTAATGTAACCACTTTGTAAATTTGTCATTCTAGAAATAATCTTCTAAACTCAGTTGTACGATTCTTTTAAAAAGTCTTTAAATTAATAATCCGAGTACTGTATTTTTTATACTATATTACTTCAAGATTCAAATTTTCAATTAATTTTTAACTTCAAACAAAAATTTTTTATAAAAACTTAAGTATCAAAAATATAAATTTCACGGCAAGGTAAATTAGAAAACATAGACAGTGCGTTTAAGTTTTTAACATAAAGGAAAACTACAGTTAAAATTAATTTTGATAAATTTTAAAGATCCAGTTCTACAATTAAAAAAAATTATTTACAGCAAAAATTTGTTATGAAATAATAATTTGAATGTTTTTTATTTTTTCTTTAAAGTCAGTTAACATTTGCAATTTGTATACAATTTTTAAAAAGAATTGCTGATTTTGTTTTTTAAAAAATTTTCTACAATTATTCTTTTTCTTAAACTTTGTTAAATAATAGTAAATAATGGATTTCAAAATCCACCGTAAATTTTGAAGTAAAATAAAAATTCAAAAAGGATTAAAATATTTTCTGACCAATTTTATTTTATAAAAATCTCAGCTTTCTAATAAAAATGATTTAAAAAAAATAAAAAAGTGGTAGTTTTTGCAAAAATTGAAAAATGAGGTTTATTTTTGAAGAAAGAGGGGTTCAATAATTTTTTGTTTAAATTTTTTGTCATTGAAAAGTACACAAAAAATGATTTAAAATTCTCTGGATAAAAAATGAAATCATGTTTTTTTAAAGTTATATAAATTTGAATGTAACAATGTTTTTAACGTACAATTTTTTTTTTGATTGGATCAGTTCACGTAGAATTTCTCAAAATGTTTAATAATTGTTAATTATAAACAAAATTTTTCTCGAAGATGTTTTTTTCAAAAATTGTACAAACTTTTAAATTATATTTTAGTTTAAGGTTATGTCAAGAGATTGAACCCCCTTAAGAACGATTTTATTTTTAAATAACAATATTAAAAGATATAGTATAGTAAACATCAAAATACATTCTTAAACAATTAATATTAATTTCGTAGACATTTACAAAAGTCATGCAACTCAGTCTAGATGATTGTTTGTTGAACAATTCAAATATATATTATACATTAGGTGAAAAACTTCTAAAGTGATACAAAATGCAAAATTAAGTTTCTTAGATCGGGTTTAAATTTGCGCCAAATTTAGTAATTTTGAAAATCAATAAAACTTCAAAGATTAAATTAATTTAAGATTAAAGATTAAAATTATTAAAAAAGAAGATTAAATTTATACAAAATCTGTTCATCCGAAATTTTAAATATTGAGCACAAGATTTTGATATAGACTTTGAGTAAAATTGTGTTTTCCACACATTCTATAAACAAAACTAAGAAATTTCTCTATAATTTTTTCAAATTACATAATTTGTAAATTATTTCTTTGTAAAATGTTTCATTTCTTGATTATTTATTATTAAAAAATTTCAATAAAATTTGTCGCAAGAATTTCATTATTTTCAAAAATAATAAAATTCTTTAAAGCAATTCAATTATTTTCAATACAATTTCAATAAAATTTCTCGAAAAATACAATTATTTTTAAAAATATTAATTGAAATCGAATATTTTCAAGAATTTTAATAGAAACTCAATTTTTTTCAACAATTTTGATGAACGTTTTTTTAAAAAAAATCATTATTTTCAAAATTTTTAAAAAAATTCCTTCAAAAAATTCAATTACGTTAAAAAATTCTGATAAAATTCATCGAAATAATTCAATTCTTTTTATAAAATGTAAAATTCATCGAAACAATTCAATTATTTTTATAAATTGTAAAATTCTTGGCATAAATTCAATTATTTTTGTAAATAATAAATTTCTTGTGAGAAATTCGATTATTTTCAATACAATTTTAATAATATTTCTCGAAAAAATACAATTATTTTTATAAATTGTAATAAAATTTTTCTAAACAATTCTAAAAATTCAAATATTTTAAAAATTTTCAGTAAAAATGGTTTAAAATAACTCCATTATTTTCAAGAATATTGAAATAAATTCTTCAAAAAAATTTAATTATTTAAAAAAATTTTAATAAAAATCTTTCCAAGAATTAAATTATTTTCAATACAATTTTAATCATATTTTCTCGAAAGAATTCAATTATTGCAAAAAAATTTCACGAAAGAATTAAATTTTTTTTATTCGTTATAAAATTTTTGCAAAAATTTAATTATTTCCAAAAAAATTTCACGAAAGAATTCAATTTTTTCTTAATTCGTTATACAATTTTTCAAAAGAATTTTCAAAAATTTTAATAAAATTCAATTATTAAATGTTTAATTTCAAATATTAACAAACACGATTATTTTAAAAATTTTGAACATTTTTACGAAAGAATTCAATTTATTTTTTAGTTCGTTATAAAAAATTTCAAAAGAATTCAATTATTTTCTAAAATTTTCATACATTCTTCGAAAAAATTCAATTATTTTCTAAAATTTTAATAAATCCTTCGATACAATTCAATGATATTTATAAATAAAAAAATTATTTGCAAAAATTTAATTATGTTCAAAATAATTTCACGAAAATTTTTTTTTTTCTTAATTCGTTGTAAAAAATTTCAAAGGTTTCAATTATTTTTTAAAATTATAATAAATTCTTCGAAAATATTCAATTATATTTGTAAATAATAAAATTCTTTGCAGAAATTCAATTATTTTCAAGAAAATTTCACGAAAAAATTCAATTTTTTTCTTAATTCGTCATAAAATTTTTCGAAAGAATTTAAAAAAATTTTAATGAAATTCAATAATGAAATGTTTAATTTTAAATATTAACGAACACGATTATTTTAAAAACTTGAAAGAAATTGTTCATAAAATTCAATTATTTTTAAGATTTTTAATTAAAATAAAGAAAAACCATTAAATTAAAAAAAAGTCAAAGAAATTCTTCAGAAAAGAGTTTAATTAGAATTATCAAAAATTTTAACATATTTCTTCTCGAGAATTCAATTATTTTTCTAAATAATAAAATTCTTTGAAGGAATTTTATTATTTATTTATTTTTATTTATTTAGAAAATCAAGGGACAATTATCAAATTTTGTGATAAAATTTTTTGCAACAATTCGATGATTTTCAATAAATTAATTTATAAAAATGGAAATTATTTAAAAAGTAAAATTTTATTAAAAAAGTTAGGAAACAAAAAAGCAAACAACGACTAACTTCAAACTGCGAACAGATTACCGGAATACAACGATTATTAATAGAGATTATTTAAATATATTTCTTTAATGAAATTTAATTATCAAACCTAAATATTATAAGAAGTTTAGTTTATATTTTTAAAGAACTATTGAACACAATAATAAAAGTGAATGGCTCTCCAAAAATGGGAACAGAATTTGAACTCGATTCAAGAATCTTAATTTTTTTAAATTCCGTAAAATCCGAGTTTTACTCTGATAAAATGTATAGCTGTTTGATAAAGATTAATTATTAAGAAGAAATCCTGACAACATATAAAATATAAAGGGTATTATTTATACGAGTGATAGTTTTGCCTGAACACTTTAAAAACTATATAATACAATAAGCACATAGATATCACTATAATACAATACAATAGAAGTTTCTAACTAAATGATTGGTTATTCTATATTATTTTTGTAACAAACTTCATTATGAAACAACTATGTAATGACTTATAATTTTTACAATTGTTTACAACATCATTTTATTAAAAATGTGTCAGTTATAATTTGTCACAGATACACGATTACAAATCTTTTCTCGTTGCATTGTATATATACTATATATTATTATAAATCATTGATTACGCGCGCGTGTGTTTTGTTTGTGCGTCCGTAAAGCTATGAAAACTGCTTCCACGTTACTTTTTTTTTTGCACTGAGCAAACCGTGGGACTTGGGTTAAATACAATTATCACCAAAAAAAAACTCCTCTATCCACAATGCAATTGGTGTTTGTATAAATTTAGAAAGTTATCTTAAAAAAAAAAGATTAAACTCTATAATACAAGTCCTCAAAATTTGTATAATATTATATTTTCAAAATTCAATACAATGCAATAAAAATCGCGAGATGAAAATATCTCTTAAAATATGCAGTCTTTAAGAAAAGGCCACATGAAGCACAATATTTAGGACGAGAATATTTTAAAAAACATCTCCGAATTATTATTGAATTTCATCTTTTTCTCAACGTTTCTTAAAAGTTATAAAATTTTCTATTCAAAGTATCAAATTTTCTTCTCTGAAAATTAAAAATAAGTCTCATAGTGTAAAACAAAAAACGCTTTTTTTTTAACAATACGAAATTTCTTTAAAAAAAGACAAGCCTTTTATAAAAGACTTAACTATTTTTTAAAATTACAAAAAAGAATAATTTGTTTTGCAAAAAAAAAAAAATTCTATCTTTTCGAATGATCAAAACTTGTTTTTTTTTCTTTTAATTTACAATCACGTCAAAATTATTTGAAAGAAGAAAATCCATTAAATGGCGATGAAAAAAGAAATTAAATAGACATTCTGCATTCCTTGAATTTTCCAAATCGAAGGAATAAAAAAGATGAAGTTACTCATTCGCATTTGGCACAGCCACAAGAGTAACTGATTCGATTAAAATAAATTAAACAGCTAACACAAAGATCAATCCTTTTCGAAGTACGTCGATTCTTGTCGAGATAAAATAATAATTAATTTTTAATATATATATATATATAGTACGAGATGGATAAAGCGATAGGGTAGCCTTTTTAACTGTGGGATCATTAGTTACTTGGATAACTTGCTGATCACTCGAATCAAGGCACCGTTTTCATCCTTTAATTTCTGATTTTCACATTTCAATTGCTCCATCACCTAGAAGAAAAAATTTAAAGTTTTTATAATATAAAATCCATCTCCCTTCTTTTTATCTCTATATAACACAGTGATGGCAAGATTATACATAGAAATATTGATTTCACAACATTAGATAAATTTTATGTTGAATTTAAATTTCTGTTGGAAAACCATCATGTTAGTCACAGAATTATATTGGTGCAAGGGATAAGAAACACATTTTCTATGACTGACGTGAAGGTTTTCTCGTTTTAATTTTAATAAAATCAATCATTTGATTGAATATTATCGTGTAAGTGAATTAATAAATTTAATAATAGTTTTAAATTGAAACTAGGATAATATTTAAAAAGTCGAAATATAATTTTTGTAAAATTAATTTCTTATTAATAATTTATCTGTATGATTAACCTGTAAGTTTTAAACAAGCTTGAGGCAAGATTACATGCTGTGGAGTTAAAAGGACATTTTTTTATTTGCCGCAAGTTTGCATTGCAAGCTTACAGGTTAATTGAGTAATAATTATTACTCAATTAATTAATTGAGTAATTTACTGGATTGCAAAAAAATGTTGATATTGTCTTTATTTAAAATTTTTTGTGTTTGTTGAAAATTCAGGTGTCACTGAACAAAAATATGCACAAAAAAATGTTTTTTCATTCGTTCAGTTTCGTAAAAAAAGTTCTGGGCCTTAGAGTTGCTAATTCAAGTTTTTATTTAAGCCCTTATAGAGATACGGACTTTACGGACCAAAAATGAAAATAGAAATCATCAGAATTTTTTTTACTTCTTTTCATTAAAAGACTAAAATTTTGTTAAATATTATGTTTTGTCAAATTGAAATTATTTTTGTTCTTTACTTCTAAAAAAATTAGAAAATTATTAAACAACTGTGATTAAGAAATAGAAAATTTATTTATTTTCCATAACTTTCTTTTTGAATCACAATTATTTTTTTAAGAAAATTATTATTTTGTTTTAGAAAAAGAAGAAAAATATTTGCACAATTTATATTTTAATCTAATCTTTGGAACAGGATTTTCCACAGGAATTAAGACATTCAAAAATTCAAAATTCAAACCTTTTTTTAAATTAAACAACTTATAAAAGTATTGTTTATAAAATATGAAGATGTCAATTGCTCCGAGTCGAAGACTCGGAGTGATCGATTTCTTCATGTTTTCTAATAAATTAAAGATGACCGAGAGATAAAATCATTATTTTACATTATAAGAATATTGTTACTGTAACTTCATCAAAATTATTTTCATCATTTTAATTAAATTATTATTTTCTAGAATTTTAAATTATTTTTTATGAAAATAATAATTGAATTCCTTAAAAAATTTTATTATTTATGAAAATAATTGAATTCCTTGTGAAATTTTAATTATTTTATGAATATAATTAAATGTTTGCGCAGAATTTCAATAAAATTTTTTATAATTGAATTCTTTTGAAAAATTTTAGTATATATTATAAAAATCATTGAATTGAGGAAAATTTTTAAAAATAATTAAAATTTTTGCCGAGAATTTTTTCAAATTTTTTAAAAATAATTGAATTAATTCGAAGAATTTTATCAAACTTTTTAAAAATAATTGAATTTCTGCAACGAATTTCATTAAAATTTTCAAAAATAATCGAATTCTTATGAAGAACTTTTATTAATTTTTTTGTTAAATAATTGAATTATTGCGAAAAAATTTATAAAACTTTTGCAAATGATTGAATTCTTGCAAAGAATTTAAAAAAAAAAAATTTGATAATAATTGAATTTCTTCGAAGAATTTTATTGTTTATGAAAATAATAGAATTTAGGAAGAATTTTATTAAAATTTTACATAATCTTAATTAAATTCTTTTGAAGAATTTCTTTGAGTTTCCTTAAAATAATGGACTTTCTTTAATCATTTTAATTACAAGTTTTCAAAGTAATTGACGAATTTTATTATTTATAAAAAGTAGTTTATTTCTTGCGATGAAATTTAATAATATATTTCTTTTTAAATAATTGAATTCATTTGTGAATTTTTATTGAAATAGTAGATATTAAAAAAATAATTGAATTTTGATATTATTGAAATTAATTTAATTCTACGAAGAATTTAATTCAAATTATTTTGAAAAAAAATTGAATTGTTAAAAATTATTTCATTAAAATCTTGGAAAATTAATTTTAATAAAAATTTTAAGAATAATTACATTTTTCGAGAAATTCCATTAACATTGCAACAAAAATAATTGAAATTCTGCGATGATTTTTATTATTTATGAAAATAATTGAATTCCTAAAAAGAATTTTATTATGTACGAAAATAATTGAATCCCTGTAAAAATTTTATTATCTATAAAAATAATTAAATGATTGCAAAGAAATTTATAAAAAAATTTGTAAATACTTAATAGAATTCCTGTGAAATTTTTATTGTTTATGAAAATAATTATATAAATGTTTGCGTAGATTTTTATTAAATTTTTTTAAAATAATTGAATTCTTTTGGAAAATTTTATTAAAAGAGTAGTTATTGAAAATCACTGAAATGAGGAAAATTTTTGAAAATAATTAAAATTTTGACAAGAATTTTATTAAAATTTTTGAAAATAATTGAATTTTGGAAAAGAATTTTATTATTTTTAAAAATAATTGTTATTTTGACGAGAATTTAAAAAAATTCTTGAACATAATTGAATTTCTGCGAAGAATTTGATTAATTTTGAAAATAATTGAATTTTTGATATCATTTGTAATTTCTCTAAAATTATTCAAATTATATCGTACAATTTACGAACTTTTCGTCCTGTTTCAATCAAATTAGAGACTTTAAGGACCTTTTGTTTTAAAAAAACTGACTTTTACGGACTTGAAGCAAAGTTACGGGATTTACGGATTTTTTGACATTTTAATCTTGTTTTTTTTTTGTGATTGGTCGAATGAAAAACTTGTTTTTGTATATTCTTGTTCACCGACACCTTAGTTTTCAATAAATGCATCAAGATTTTTTTATAACCCAGTATAATACTTATTTCTTGAGTAAATTTAATTACATATTACGCCCAGGGGGAATTTACTTATGTAGTCAAGTTTACACTCTTCTTGTAATGGTCGTATTACTTTGTTATAGTGTCTAATAATAATACATTATTTTTGAGGCATTTTGGTGTGACGAGTTTGAAATGTTGAAATTCGACTCGTAATAATCCACACAGCACTGAAAGTTTTCCAAAAATTCTAATTAAGTTGAGCGGTACGTTACACCAGTGTGCTTATCCAGTGAAGTTTTTAAATTTTATTTAAATTTACGATTTATGCAATAAATGGAAAAATCGATGTTGGATGAACAAGAGAGTTCTGCAAAGAAATTCTGAATTTTTTTGCAGAGTTTCTCTAAAAAAATCTCACTCCTTACAGTTGTTTAGTGTTTTGGGAAAAATACCTTTTTTGTAGGGAATGATTAGGCTCTCTAAGCCAATGGATTTTTTCATGTCATTTCAGTGAGAAACAACATTTAATATTATACTTTTTGCTTCAAATATACATTTTATTGAGGCCTTTATAACGCCCGCACGAGCGTGAACTCGCATGACATGCGAGGCATATGTACCTCCATGGAGGACACATCTGCGTGCGTCATCTTTTGCAGGCAATGTGCACTCACTATTGTTATCTGGGTACGTTTGTTACCATTCATTAACGCTTTTAAAGCTATGGATAAGATAGTTGGCAACTGTTTTTCAACAAAGAAAATCGGACCAGAAACTTTTCAAAATCTAAATAAGTTAAACAAAATTCTGCCAGCAACGGAAATTTCGAAGACCTATTAAAAATCCATGTTCTGCTAGATCATTTTATGGACTGCCTCAATTTTTTGGATGGAGATGGGCCAAGAAATTGGTCCGAACAAGCCGGCGAATCGATCCATCATGAGTTTTTAATTCACTGGAACCGGCGAAAAGTGTCTTTTTTTGATAATCCATCCTACATTAATCAACGAAAATTCGCTGTTATTTCATTTTCATCTTTAAATTTATAAAATTTGGTGAGTTTTTTCTAATTAAAATGAAGAAAATAACCTTTTGTAAAGTACAAATAGTAAATATAATTAAAATACATTTTTACCCAATCTTATTAAAATAAGTAATAGTTATTCATGTTTATTTATTTTCGATAAATTAGCTGTTAAGAATTTTGATCAAAGTAGCATTTTCATCAGAAAGGTTTGTAGTAACATAAAATCGTAACAAAAAGTTGCCACAATGAAAGTTGATAATATTCATCTTCCTGCACGATGTGATGGAGAAGTAAAACATTTTCGGTGATAAAAACCCCCAAATAGGATTTAAATTGTATTAAAAAACATTATATATTATTAATTTATAAATATTGCATGTACCTTATACCTTGAATTTTTATGTAGTCAGCTTTTTAAGCTGCTTCTACAACATTTTCTATTTTGCATAGTTTTAACTATTTTGCATAGTTTTAACAGTGCATCTTGTTCATGTCGATGAAAAAAAAGTAGTTGTAGAAAACCCCTGACACAATTAACATTAATAACATATTGTTTTTATGAACCACTGCAATCTATCAAACCTGCGAATAACGCAAGACGTATAATATTAGCGTACACTGAGAAAAAAAATTATTTGATTCAAACAAATTTTGTTTAAATCAAACTTAAAATATCTTTGCTATACAGTCAAACATATTTAAGTTTAATTCAAACATATTTTCTGGTTTAGTTTAAGAGATTATATATTGAAATCAAACATAAATTGTGATTGATTTTAAATTATCTGTAGCCAACTTTTAAGTTTGTTTCAAACATAAAATTTTTAAACATAACTTTTGTTTAAACCGTAACAAAAAATATGTTTGAATTAAATATAATTATTCAAACAAATAATACTTTTGAATCAATGCAGTAGATATTTTCTGTATATTGAGATTAAACTTACAAACTAATTTCAATTAAACAAAATCGTCTAACATTATTTTTGTGTTTCATTTAAGTATA